ATACATATTATACATAGAAACACCCAGATCAAATCAAACATTAAATGTTCATGCACACAAATGTTTGACTTGAGCGGGAATCGAACCCGCGACCTTTGGAATAGCAGTCCGTTACATAAACCACCATGCAATAATAATAGTCTTTTGAAATCCGGTAATTTAAATGTAACCAAAGCGGTCATTAAAACAGTTTTAATTCAGCATATCTTACTCCGTACGTGTGGCGACGGATTAAGAATACAGAGTGTCACCACCCCTATTCATCCCGTGGGTGTCGTAAGAGGCGACTAAGGGAGCAAACCACGCAGGAGAACAGCACTGCAGAGAGAAGAAAAATTTGACACAAACCCTATACTAACCCGTCTGGTCAGCGTGGTATAGTAGGCCAAAACCTCCTTCCTAAGGAGAGGCCTATGTTCAGCAGTGGACTATTAAAGGCTGTTGATGTGATGTGTGTGTGACATCTTACTCTATGATATAATATATTCTGCTACGTTTATGTGATAATTTAGGCTACAGTAGCGCCAATCTGGTCGTTTTTTGAACTATTATTTATTGCTGGATATTTTTCCGGCTTGATGTCCATAAAAGGTAGTGTTCCTTACTCCTTACTTTATACCCAAAATATATATAAAAAATGGAGTTACTTTGACATTTTCATTTGACGGCATTATTATTGTGTATGTGTGCGTGTTAATTGGCGTGTGTACCCTGGTTTGATAAAAATATATGGACAAAAATATTATCTTATTAGCTTTGGGTTTAAACAATTCAGTGTTGGAATTTAAATTGTAATTAGAAAGAAAAAAAATCTAATAAATATTGTAAATAGAAGCGCCATTGTTTTGGCCGGCTCGACCCCTTAAGCAACTCTGTCGTTGTTTTACACTGAATAAGGTAACCGGAGCTATGTGTAATGAGCACGATCATATGTTCTATCTCTCGGTGTAATTCTGTCTAAAACCAGTATAATTTTTTTTTTTTTAAGAAAGACAACTCCCGCATTAGGAATATCTCCTGTGTTGCGGGGGACTTTACAAACATACATGAAACGGACACATTAGAAATAATATATAAATAATAAGTATGTTTTATTTAGAAACTTCTAATTTAATACTTTTTTTTTTAATTTTTGGACATGTAACACACAACGCCATCTAGTTTCAAACTAAACAGAGCTTGTACTATGAAAGCTAGATTGACTGATATAGTACTTTTTTACTTTTTTTTTAAATACATACATATTATACACAGAAAACACCCAAACCCTGAAACAAATATTTGTAGATCATACAAACATTTGGTCCGACCGGGGAATTTAACCCGAGACCTCAGCACAGCAGTTGCATACGCTACCAATGCGCCACCGAGGCAGTTGCATTTGGTAATTAATGTGACTTGTATTTTAATGCAGACTAGAAAAATATCGTACATGTTATTATTTATAACGTAGATTGGAACGTGATATCTTCTAGACATTACATTCCAATCTACGTTACCATCTAACCGTCTAAATAATCTATTATAATTTTTTTATTACATATACGTTATGTGCCAATACAAAGTATATATAACTATGCTCCAGGTGTTGTGTAGTGTACTAGTATTCAAATTTTAACCGTAATTCAGTAAGTATAGTTGTAATATATCAACCAGTATAACTTGAACTGTCGTTATATAGACTTTTCACTGGAGTATATACATTACTGGATTACTGTAGTTTCGCATAATTTTTAAACTTAGTAAATATCTGCTTTTTGCAACAATTAAATTTTTAATATTTCACGGCGCAAAATATGCTAAAATAGGATACTAAAAACGCCTATATTAATAAATAAAATTTTTTTTTTTTTAAATTATTATAAATATTAATGAGTTCATTAAGTTTATTTTTGATTACAAAAAATACATGAATTAAATTGTATTAAAACAAACATGCAGACAGGCCTTTCCGAGTATATGTCAATTAGATTTAGTACTTTTACTAAAAAATAATACCTGTGCTAAAAATAACTAAAATCGATTCACCAGTTTATTAGCAAAATACTTTTTTTTTTTAGTACAAAAAGACAACTCCCGCATTAGGAATGTATCCTGTGTCGCGAGGGACTTTACAAACATTCATGAAACGGACACAAAGTACACCCAGACTCAGAAAAATAATTTGTGGATCACACAAAGAGTCGTCCCATGTGGGGATCGAACCCACAACGTAGCATGAAGCGGCGTGGCGACCGCTTTAACCACAACGCCATCCGTGCAAGGAATCCATTAGTCAGTTGTCGAGATTTTGTGAAACCCACTTCCATAGCAAAATGCAGAACCTACATATCACTGCTGTATAATTACTTATACCATAAACCAGTTCCAATTATATATGTCTAAAGTCTATAGAATATGGTTTTACGAGGAAGACCCGCTGATAACTTAACGACGGTAATTCTTGCGTACTCCAAAAATTTCCGGACTCAAGTCGAGTTTGTCAAGTTCGAGGTTGACACACACTCATCTGTGGTATGGTGTCAGTGACGAGTAGTGGTGGTTTTGAGACGCACAAAAAAGATGTTGAAAACTTACCCTTAATAAATATCTTTCGGAGACTTTCTATTTTAAGATGGCGGATTAAAAATGGTGATTAGTTTAGATCGTGGTTTTCATGATATTAGTACGTATACTTAGCAAGAACGACAATTCGCCCGCTTTTAGGGGTTTTTTTAGGATTTTCATTCAAAATTACTGAACTTCATAAAATTCTTTACTAATTATAAGAATTATTTGGTTTTTCAAAGTTGTTAGGTATGCTTTTTGATAATTTTCTGTATTTTTTTTAATGGTGACAGCCCTGTGTTTCAGATGCCATCTAGTACGCATTAATGTAAATATATTTATATAGTACACTAGCTGACCCGCGCAACTTCGTCTGCGTCTCTCAATAGTAATAAATTTTCTCCGTTTTTTGAAACATTCTTCATTGGTGCTCCGTTCCTATTGGTCTTAGCGTGATGATATATAGCCTATAGCCTTCCTCGATAAATGGGCTATCTAACACTGAAAGAATTTTTCAAATCGGACCAGTAGTTCCTGAGATTAGCGCGTTCAAACAAACAAACAAACAAACAAACTCTTCAGCTTTATAATATTAGTATAGATTAAACGAATGGGTTATTAATGTTTAATTACAGTTAATTCCCACATAAACGTCCTGCGTTTGTTTTAGTGAAAGAAATAGGGGCGATATTTTTTAAAGAAGTTAGGGATTGTCTTATTTAATATTTACGGACATCTGACACACAACGCCATCTAGTTTCAAACTAAGCAGAGCTTGTACTATGAAAGCTAGACTGACTGATAGAATACTTATTTACTTTTTTTTGTAAATACATACATAAAAAACACTTAAACTCCGAAACAAATATTTGTACATGATACAAAAATTTGGTTCGAACCGGGAATCGAAACCGAGACCTCAGCACAGCAGTCGCACACGCTACCACTGTACTACAAAGGCAGTCATATGTCAATATAATGCCATAGTGTAATCAATACCCTAAATAAATACATGGGCTAGTGAGCGGCATACACTACACTCGAAGTTATAATTGATAATACAATACAATAATTTTTTGTCCAAATTTTACATTTCACGACATTTATATAAACAAGCGGTTATATGGAATAATAGCCTTACAATTTTAATTCAGTTGGATACATTCTCGTTTGGTCATAGCTATCATTTTTTTTATTAATATAAATACACAATAAAATAAATAGTTATGTCAGGAACATTAAATAATTCAATTTCATGGGCATATACAGCGTGTTACAAAATTCTGTGGTCATAATATTTTATTTAATGTTAATTTTAGACATTTTGTAAGTATACGAATAACTTAATCTAGTATTCAACTCAGACGGTCGTGGGTTTAATTCCAGTTGAGTGCAAATATTTCTTTTCTATATTCTTCTCTGATGTTTGTATAACATTTTTGTAATATATTATTTAAACGACGCTGATGGTAATTTAAGTACATCATCATCATCAACAGCCTATTACAGTCCACTGTTGGACATAGGCCTCTTCTTAGAAAGGTTTTGGCCTACTATATCACGCTGGCCAGACGGGTTGGTATAGGGTTTGCTTCTCTATGCAGTGCACTCTACTGTGTAGTTTACTCCCTTAGTCGGCTCTTATGACACCCACGGGATGTATAGGGGTGGTGACATTCCGTATTCTTATTCTTAATAATTTTATGTATTTAATAGTTTCTTACAACTTAGTAAGTCCTTTCTTACGCCTTCCTCTCAGTTGGCAGTTTAAAGGAAAGTTGTCATGAGGTATTTTTTTTTTTCTTTGCATATATTTTTAACGAATCTATTCATAACGATAAAAAGATTCATGATTTGTTGCTTTTTTACTATACAATTTGTAAAATACATACACAAGTTTTTGTAACACTTGTATATATGAAATTCAGTCAAATAAATATTAGATATTAATGAAGCAAGCTTTGGTGTCATATAAATCATCAAATACATATGCAGATATAATCTTTGTGTGTCATTAAAAATCGCATACGAATCCGTAAGCTAAATAGTAAGTAATACTCAAGTATTTTCATAAAAATACATAAGCTAAAACACTTTTTATAATAAGACGGCTATTTTAAGGATGCGTACACAAAAAAATTAGGTATACACCGCTTATTAAGCGAAAAAACAGCTCATAAATCGTTGTGGGCAATCTAAATTATCCACAGCGTAAATCTTAGTGCAATGGTTCTTAAGTAAAAGTGTTGTGGCGATCACAGAAGGACCACAACGCTTTGTTTTCAGTTTTTGAGCGTAATATTCACGCAATTACAATGTATTTTGATATATTAAATCAGCGATGAACCCTTAAAACACATAAAATTAAATTAAAAATACCTGCGTATCAGATTCGCCAATAAAATGCAGCAGCAATACATGAAGCGAGATGTGGTCCTCTGTCCCTCCGGCACTCAGTCGTCGTCGGAGGGCTCGGTGCCGAAGTACCGGTCGCCGAAGTTCCCTATGCCGGGCAGTACGTAGAACTTTTCGTTGATCTCTGGGTCTAACGCTGACGTCACGATTTTAACCTGCAAGTGGATAATGAGTTTTCTTTGAAAACGTGGCGTTACGTAGAGATGTGGCTTCACTCTGCATTCTCTATCGCATATATCATGGAGAATGCTCCGAGTAATTGTTCGGACTAATACCAGCCGCAACTTTCCGCTATCGTTCCACACGGCAAAATTGACATCCTCATCACCTGGATAGTTGGCGCTCCACAACTGTGCACTTTTCGAGACACTTTTTGCCCCCGCACAACCAATCTGTGGAACGGGTTATCGTCTGCGGTATTTCCGGACCCATACGACCTTCAAACCTTCAAGATAAGAGCGTACTCCTTCCTAAAAGGCCGGCAACGCGTATGTGACTCCTGAGTTGCAGATGTTCATGGGCGGCGATGATCACTTTCCATCGGTGACACGTCTGTTCGTTTGCCCCCTCTAACATAAAGAAAAAACAATAGCACAGGAGAAATTGTACTTGAATTGGAGCCTACTAAGGATTTTCTTATCAAACAGTCACTTAAGACTTATTTTATAATCTTAATATATATAAATCTCCTGTCACGATGTTTGTCCGCGATGGACTCTTAAAATACTTAACCGATTTTAAATAAAATTGGCACACCGTGAGCAGTCTGGTCCAACTTAAGAGATAGGATAGCTTAGATCTTTAATTATAGTCGCAATTTTATTTTATTGCAAATTATTGGTCTATAATTAATTGACAGTCACAATTATCTGTTAACTCTAAAAGATTCTAACAGATGTCGATACTTTTCGACTGGATTGAGTAAGTAATCAATAGTTGGCACTGCTATGGTAAACCGACATAATGTATATGGCAAAACAACGTTTGCGGGGTCAGCTAGTTATAATATAATATTCTACCACATGCACACAACGCAATCTAGTCCCAAACTATGCAGAGCTTTTACTATGGGTACTAGACAACTGATATAAATACATACATATTATACATAGAAACATCCAGACCAAATCAAACATTACATGTTCCATGTTCATGCACACAAATGTTTGCCTAGAGTGGGAATCGAACCCGCGACCTTTGGAATAGCAGTCCGTTACACAAACTATTTGGCCATCCGGTCGTCGTTTGTAAAAAAAACTTTGAATATTAAAGTAAAGTGAAAAAATAATAATCTTTATTGTTTTGATTAAGTAGATTTTAGAAACAGAGATTTAATATTTAGCATGTTTCAGAACAAAATTTTACATATTATTTTGTTTAATAATAATTTCAGACGTGAGACCTTACATTGAAGGGGTCAGCAGAAGCATATAATAATATTTCGGACATTTGACACACAACGCCATTTAGTTGGGGCCGGGCCTCTTGGTCTAGTGGTTAGTGACTTCAGGGTCAGTCGGTCAGCTGCTACGCCAGAGGTCGTGGGTTCGATCCCCACCCAGGACAAATGATTGTGTGATGAGCACGAACAGTTGTTCTGGTCTGGGTGTACTTTATCTATAATATGTATGTATTTAGAAATATATAAGTATGTTTATCAGCGGTCTGGCTCCCATAGTACAGGCTGAAAATATTTAAAAAAAAGTTTCAAACTAAGCGGAGCTTATATTAAAGATGTACATGTCACAACTTTGGTGCCTATTAATCCTTATCTGTCAATAATTTATTCTGGGTAGGTATCGAACCCATAACTTCTAACTCAGCAGTCATGACCATCAACTACTAAACCAACAACCAGTCATGTTATTTTTTTTTTATAATATTGGAACGTACGAGCGAACGTGCAGCGGGACGACTTGATGGTAAGTGATTACCGTCGTTCACGAACACCTTCAATTCAAAAGCGTTGTCGTCTTATAAACGTGTCCCTCAGAGGTAGGGGGTTATTTATAAGGCGTAGACGGCTCAAGGTACTAGGGCTTTTCTTATTAGGGTATACCTGATTCCCCGGCTACTGGTACCTGGACACGGCGTGCGGTTTTTGGTCGGTTCGAGTCCGACCAAATTACCTTACTGGTGGGATACATTCGAACAAGAAAAAAGGGGGGTGGGAGTTATTTGCTCCACCGGTGATCTTACTCTCTCACGTAAGTGAGGGTGGGGGGAGGTGGGGGGGGGGTGTTACCTGCGGGAAGGCGTAGGCGATGCTGTGCACGCCGATCTCGGCCATGAGCAGCGACACGAGGCTGATGTTGTGCTCGGGCACGTCGTGGTCGAGCAGCACGCGGATGGCCATGATGGCGGCCGCGCCCGTCGCCACCGTCGCGTCCATCAGGATCACGCGGTAGTCCTTTATGTCCTTCGGCAGCCGCAGGTAGTACAGCTGGGGAAGGGGGGGAAATAACACTACTTACTATGAGTTTATGGGAAACTTTACTAACATACATGAACGACAAAGAACACCCAGATTTAGGACAATAATTTGTGGATCACAAAGTGTAATCTTGTGTTGAGATCGAACCCACAACACTCAGCTTAGTAGCAGAAGTACAGTAGCAGCATATCCATACTTACATTATAAATGCGAAAGTGCGTCTGTCTGTCTGTCATCTCTTCACGCTTAAACGCTGAACCGATTTCAATGAAATTTGATATAGAAATAGTCCAAATCCCGGGCAAGGACATAGGGTAGTTTTTATCCCAGAAATCATTCTTTAAGGGAGGCCCCTTAAAGAATGATTTCTGGAATGAAGTCTGTATTTAGTAAATTTGGTATGGAGATACTTTGATTCTTGGGGACATTTACGTGGGCAGGGCCACGTGCAAAAGCTAGTTTCAGTGGTTTTTTCATGTGATAGTGTAACTTATTCGGTTTAACTTAAGTTACCTCAGGTTCTCCAGTGGCCTGGTTGGTCTGTATGAGTATTTTGCCGATGCGTATATCCTTGCAGATGTCGCAGACGGCCTGCTCCATTGTCTCGCCGGCTCGCAAGATGGACACACCGCAGATCTTCTCCACGTCGCATTTACGACCTAAATCACATAGGGATAAGACTCAATATAGTAAAATCAATTACTTAATATTTTTTTGTTATTTCCACTTACTGTGTTATATAAAATACTAACTGACCCGACAAAAATTGTTTTACTATTTACATTATTTCTAGGAAATATTGAAAAAAAATATTTGGGGTGGGTCCCTTGTCATTTAGGGGTATGAAAAATTGATGTTGGCCGATTCTCAGACCTACCCGATGTGCACACAAAATTTCATCAAAATCGGTCCAGCCGTTTCGGAGCAGTATGGTAACTAACATTGAAGATTTTTATATATTAGAAGAGATTAAAATGCAAAACTTAAAGGATTATTCTATATAACATTATCATTCTAAAATATATGTTTCAGCCTCACAACAAAACCGGTGCTAAGTAATATAGATGGTGGTAGTCACTCCGCTTGCTTTCCTACACCATTAATAAATAAATAGATTACTGGCAGTGGTTCGAACCCGCAACCCCTTAATCGCAAGTCTTTGTAGGCTAACTTTTTGTTTATCAAACCAATAAATATAATAAATCTCTTACCTTTATAAGTAAATCCCTGTGGAGTGTCGACGGTGACGTCAGAGTACGGAAGCAAGGAGAGAGCGAACTCTATGACGAGCCGCATCAGACGTTTGGAGTAGAACACGAACTCGTCCCGAGGCGTATCCTTGTTCCTGATGAACGTGTGGAGACCATCCACCTGCAAAACGAATCTCGCATTCATCTTGACGCAAAAACAGTAAAATATATTTCAGTGCCATCTAGCGAAGGCACGGTGAACTATTTAGTAAACTGCTGATTCTGTATCGCGCAATGAAAATTCTCACGCCAATTAATATACAAATAACTTCCTAATATAAACCTTTCGGCTGAGGTCGTGAAGTAATTGTTTACCTAATATTTGTTTTTATAGTATAGGGGCGAAAACGAGCAGACGGGTCGCCTGATGGAAAGTGACCACCGTCGCCCATGAACAGCTGCAACTCAAGAGCCACAAGTGCGTTACCGCCAGAAGGTTCGGGCTATGGTAACTTCAGTCGGTGGTATTACTCCGGTCGAGCCTGGCCCGGAGACGAAGAAGAGCTTCTTACGATAGAATCTTCTTTAAAGTCTTACTGCGCATAACTGAGGCTAAATAATTACTGTAGTTTTTTTTTTTCATTTATAATGCTGTCACTCTTTTTAAAAGAATTCTGAGTCGCAACATGGAATTTAAAAAAGTTTTTCCTTGAAATGACAGACAGGTTTTTCTCTCTGCTAGGGAACTTACCTGAGGTGTTTCTTTGAGAACATATAACGAGTCAGGTACGGGCTGACCAATGTGAGCGATGGCTAACTTCTCACGGACTTTGAATCCTCGCTGCAAGAAAGAAAGAAACGCATTAATGTCATCAACAGCCTGTAACAGCCCACTGCTGGACATAAGCCTCTCCTTAGAAAGGAGGTTTCGGCCTACTATACCGCGCTGGCCAGGCGGGTTGGTATAGGTTTTGTGTCAAGTGTTTCTTCTCTCTGCATTGCTGTTGTCCTGCGTAGTTTTTTCCCTTAGTCGGCTCTTATGACACCCACGGGATGAACAGGGGTGGTGACACTCTGTATTCTGAATCCGTCACCACACGACATTAATGTAATTATTTCTATGTCTTTAGCTGGGCGAGAGGTGATCGCTGCATATTTAAAAAAATAAAATACATAAGGAAAAGCCAAGATATGAAAAAAAACATTCAAACCTCAGGTAGTACTTAAAACACATAGTTTATGCTGAAACGATAATCAGATTAACTTGGGTTTTTTAAAGACAACTCCTGAACTAGGAATATATCCTGTGTGTATTTATATGTATAATGATTGGTTGCACGGATAGCATGGTGGTTTAAGCAGTCACCTCGCCGCAGTTCCTACTGCCCTGAGTGTTGTGGGTTCGATCACCACATGGGACAACCCTTTGTCTGATCCGCACTGTGTCTGAGTGTTATTTGTGTCCGTATCACGAATGCTTGTAAAGTTCCCCTCGACACAGGACATATTCCTAGGGCAGGAGTATTCTTCAATTAATAATAATGTAAGCGTCCAATATACAAAATCAAACTTATTCCAATAACTCACCAACTGCAGTTGCTTGTGAACGTGCTGCACTATCAGATGAATGGCCACCTTGTTCTCACCCCCTCTGGGCACGATGATGTCAGCATGGGCCATGCAGGGCGCGATATAACTCTGGTAGGCTGGCTTCACGTGGGTCATGTACTGCTTCAAAACACCCTCCAGGTCCCGACCGCGCTGCACTATGTCTCTGCAAAATCCACCATAAGATTTTTAAGACCATTTCAGAATTTACCCACGTTTATTGTCATTGTTCCGCCTTTCAAAGATGTTTTTAAGCTATTGCATAGCTTCTATCGCGGGCCTTGAGCGCGGGGACCGAATCCAGAAATTCCGTAACGAAAAAAAACCTCACGCTCCCCACTCTGACTAGTACTACTAGTATACTAGCTGGTACCCGCGACTTCGTTCGCGTGGAATTTGAAAACGCTGCCTTACTGAGTTCGATTCCCGGCCGGGCAAATTTCTATAGGAGTTTTCCTGAGATAATTATTTAATACTAAGTTTATTAATACTAAGTTGATAAAAAATGCTATGCAATAGCTTTACCGCGGCAGTCCCCGAGCGCCACATGTCTTTTTTTTTTTTTTAATATAATAGGTGGCAAACGAGCTGCCTTCAGCTCATCCATTCATCCAGCCATCAGGGGGTCTAGTGTTTATATTACATTACCACAAACTTATAACTCAAATTAACTTTTACAATTGCTAAGATCACTCACGAATATAACACTATTTCAGTTCTTTGGGGGGAGGGGGAGGGGGCATAGACATCTTTCTAATAGTCTAGCTCAATTAAAAAAAAAATTAGCACTGTTTAATTGTTGATATACCTCCCTACCATTTAAATATTAACTATTACTGTTTTACTATTTTTTGTACAATTCATTAACTTTTTTTCATCTACAAAGGCCATTTGTGAACACTATTTGTATTTTTTTTTTTGTAATGTCCATGTTGTGGTCGCCTATTCATATCATAAAATTTTATTTGCTATAAAACTACCATGTAAGGTGAATTTCTTGTTGGAGATCCAAAAAAAATAAAAAAAAAACTCAATCGTTGAATTTCACCAATCGCAACCGTGTTCTGCGATGCGATTGGTGAAAAGTTAACACCGGTTTTCTGTGTGGCTGTGGCACCACTCCGGTTAAATCGACCCATTTGTGCCGAATCATGACTCCCACGATCATAGCTTAATATTGTTTAGCTTTTAATACCTAAACTTTCTTAAGATAGGGAAGTTGGGGTTTACTGAAAGGCTAACAATTTCAATGTTAATACAAGTACTGTGTTTATAAACATAATTTAAATGTGCTTTAAATATCCTCGATTCAAAAGTCCCTTCAAAGAATAAAAAAATAAAAAAAACTTTGAACGTCTAAATAAATTTGAAATAATAATACTAAGTTCCTAATAAAAAAGAGCTAGGAAAACCCTCCAGTTGTCCATGCGTTTAGGAGCCATGAACAAAGAAAACACACAGATATTATGTTAAACTTATAAATCTTTTGAATCGGGGCTTAAAATACGAATGCGTCACCAGCTAAAAATAAAATTTATTTAGGTCAAGTTCAATTCGTAAAAACGTATTTAATCCGTAGACATCCGACATTAAGAGAGACAATATCGAGAAATGTCTTTAATAAACCTGAGAAATTGGACACAAAACTATATTATTATACAAGTATTTATTTATTTGTTTTAAACTACAACTCTACAGCTATTTTGTAGGTTACAATTTTAATTTATTGTGCAGTCAGACTCAGGTTTTGGCATTTACTACAAACTACTACAAACAAGATATGGCCGGCGTATCTTGGCGAACGTGAACATTGGCTCTGCGAACTTTGGCGCATGTATACTCGTGAAGAAAACTGTTATTGTCTTTTTTTTATACCCTAATGATGCTAACGTGTGACTGAGACAAAATACTGTATTGCCGAATAAGCACGAAGTAACCAAAAAGGAGGTCCAATACGCGTGCCTGAGGGTGTTGTTTGATCGATATCTATTCAAATCGATTGAAATTATCATGTTTTTTTTTTTAATTTTATAAGTTTTAAAATTTCTTAAACAATCGTTACTCAAGTAGACGTTAATAGATAACTGATATTTAAGTAAATCATGTCTTTAAACTGAGAAAATAAAATTTTATTAGTTTTTTTTTATTAAAGTCGAAATCTCGTTTATTAACTACAAAATTCACTAATATTGGTTAATCTATTTCGTTTAATATCTTATACAAACAAAAATCAATAACTTCTAAATAAAACTAATCGATTACGATATTTGATTGAATAAAGGGTCGACTGTGTTTACTGATGGTCAATCTCTAGCCTAGACCACCGCCCCCCGTACCTCGCCTCATGCCACCATATTGTTCCTAAAAAAAGTCATTGCGCAGCCATCTGGTGCGAAGTTCAGACTCGCCAAGATACGCCGGCCGTATTATAAGCCAATTATAGAATTTCACGGCAAGTTGTAGCAGAATATTAAAACTAACATTATCTACTATTATAATTACTTTAAAACTCGCAAAGAAACCATAAAATTAACAATAGTTAATTAAGTACACAGTAATTTGTGCGTAATATATGGATCGCTTTTATCAATAGTAGGAAGCAGAGATTAGGGCACGTTTAAGTTCTTTTTTGAAATAATTTTCATTAAAGAAAAAAATCATATCGCGATACAGGATTAGCAATTCTTATTCAGGAGTTACTCCGTAGTTCGGTGTGACTTTGTTAGATGGCGCTGTAGTATGTTTCTGTTTCTTTGTATGTAGGAGTCGCCACAACACTTAATGATTTTTTTATATAATATGCCCCGTGCACAATATTTATCTCAAAAGGGAAACAAAAAAATTTCTTTACGTTTTTAAATATGGATATCGCTTTTTATGAGAAAAAGTAATAATAAATAATGCTATTTCAAAACCAAACAGCATTTCATATTTATTTATATAGATATAATTACAAAAGTACAACTTTTCTTAGATAAAGAAAACTTCATTGCGCGATGCAGGATTAGTACCTTTAGGACCGTTAGGGCTTAAAGTTGTAATATATACCTTTGCTGATCTACACATAATATATCTATGTAGACGACGCAGCAAAAATGGCGCGGTGCCAATTATCTGTCATTTGTAAACTATGGCAATAAAACTTTATAATGTAAACTATTTCTTTACAATGTCGATAATTACACTATCGGGGTTACCGATATGTGGCTAGTAAATAATTATAGTCTTTAAGAAAACTAAGAAAAATACTATTAATGGCGAACCGAATAAAAAAAAAACAAAGTTACATGCACTATTTGCATATTGCCCTGACCCTGGGGGGCTTTTGCTTCGGTCGGGGCCAGCTCTACCGTAGTGGTTCCACGGCCGTACAGAAAACTGGTGTAAGTACAGAATAAAGTTCAAGGAGCCAAAACCCCTCTTTTTTCCGTGCGGAAATCCTCTTGGATACCACCTATCGGTTGCATGTCGGACTCGAACCGACTTAAACCGCACGCCGTCTCGGGTACTAATAGCCGGGGAACCAGGTATACCCTAGAAAGGAAGTCCCTGGTGCCCCGACATACCTCGGCCATCTAGTAGACGACCCCCCCGTGTGGGAACCCCATGTTCCCTCTGCTCCCTGGAAGCGAGCGCGCTTCGCAACGCGCTCGCCGTTTCAAACACCCCCCTCCTCCACTGAATCTGGGAGGCCAACGCAATAGTGACTGTTTAGTTGCTGTCTAATAGACGACAGGCAGTCCCCCCCTGCCATTATCATTAAAAAACCCAAAACGAAACTGAGCAAAGGATAAAATGAAGAGTTGTTTAAAGAACACAGGTAAATAATTTACCTCCGTAGTCTTCTAGCCAGTCGTATATCAGCGTCGGTGTCAACAAACACCTTCATGTCCAACATGTTGGTGACCTCCGCGTTGTAGAAGGCCAGGATACCCTCGAAGATGATCACGTTCGCGCCGTACATCGTTTTCTGTGGATAATTTATACTGTAACCATAGAAAATTGTTACACTATACATGTATACAATTCAAAATAATCTCCCGCACACGGTCGTCTGGTCCTAAACTAGGCAGAGCCTGTACTAAGGTAACCAGACTGCTGATAAACATACTTATTATAGATAAAGTACACCCAAACACAGAACAAATGACCGTGCTCATTACACAATTTTTTGATTGCACGAATGGCGTAGTGGTTTAAGCGGCCGCCGCGGCCTGGCGACTTTTACTACGCCGAGTGTTGTGGGTTCAAACCCCACATGGGACGACACATTGTGTGATCCACAAATTGTTGTTCTGAGTCTGGGTGTTTTTTGTGTCCGTTTCATGTATGTTTGTAAATTCCCCGCGACACAGGATATATTCCTAATGCGGGAGTTGTCTTTTTAACGAAAAAGAAAAACAAAAAAAAAAGATTTATTTGTCCTGGGTAGGTAACGAACCCACGACCTCTGGCATAGCAGTCAGGGTCAGTAACCACTAAACTAACAGGCCAGTCAAATACTATAAAGTTAAAAATTATTTAAAAACGGATACATAGAACTATTGGAGTGGAATATATATTTTTTGATCTGTTATGGTACACATATCAATTTTTCGTCACCACCAACAGCCTTTAACAGTCCATTGCTGGACATAGGCCTCGCCTTAGAAAGGAGGTTTTGGCCTACTACACCACGCTGGCCAGTCGGGTTGGTATAGGGTTTGTTTCAAGTTTTCCTTCTCTTTGCAGTGCTGTTGTCCTGCGCAGTTTGCTCCCTTAGTCGGCTCTTACGACACCCACGGGATGAATAGAGGTAGTGACACTGTATTCTTAATAAATCACCACACGGACTTTTTTTATATTTCTAAATACATACATATTTTAGACTATTAATTTTAACAAATGACCGTGCTCATCACACAATTATTTGTCCTGGGTGAGAATCGAACCCACGACCTCTGCCGTAGCAGTCAGGGTCACTAACCACTAGACCAAGAGGCCAGTCAAATAGATACATATTATAGATAAATTATACTGACACAGAATACTACAAAGTTAAAAAAATTACAAAAACGGATACATAGTGGATACATACAGGAGTGGAATATATATTTTTTGACCTGTTACGGTACACATATAAATTTATCGTCATCACCAACAGCCTTCAACAGTCCACTGCTGGACATAGGCCTTTTCTTAGAAAGGATGTTTTGGTCTACAATACTACGCTGGATTGGTGTAGAGTTTGCTTCCCTTTGCAGTGCCACTCTACTGTGTAGTTTGCTCCCTTAGTCGGCTCTTATGACACCCACGGGATCAACCCCAATCCCCACCGGGGTGGTGACACTCCGTATTCTTAATCCGTCACCAATCCACACGGACGGTTTAATTTATACAGGTCATAAAATAAAACGATGCAGTCAAAATTCTACTGTAGGTATAGGCGATTACCTAAAATACTCACAGTCCTGTTTTCCCTGGAATGCGTAACATAGTTGTATATGGGGACCTCAACTTTTTTGCCCTCACGCAGCCGCTGCAGCACCGATATAAGCAACTCGATGTCGAACGCGTCCGGATGATCGAAGTTGTATTCGTTGCGGTTCGCTGCTATGTGCTGTTTTTCGTTTAACACCTGGGATATCATAAAAACAGTATTTATCTAGCTGTCCTGAACAGCACCCTAAGTAATATTATCATAACCCTTATTTTATGATATTGATGCTTCGCACAAACATATATATATATATATATATATATATATATATATACATACTAGCTGACCCGGCAAACATTGTTTTGCCATATACATTATTTCTAGGAAATATTGAAATTTTTTTATTAGGGATGGGTCACCCTCGTCATTTAGGGGTATGAAAAATAGATGTTGGCCGATTCTCAGACCTACCCGATGTGCACACAAAATTTCATAGAAATCGGTCCAGCCGTTTCGGAGGAGTATGGTAACTAACATTGTGACACGAGAATTTTATATATAAGAGATATATATATATATATATATATTAATACACGTACACAATCACACACTTGAATGGCTTCGAGCTGACAACACCCAGTCATATGGGCTTCAGCTGAAAACCAGCGTTGGAAGGCACCTGTGGCATCCAACAGTATGCTGCAGACCTATTGGCACTTTTTGTAAGGAATTTTGCATGTGCCAATAAATTTTCATTCTTTCTTTCTCATACTCTCTAATTTAGTAAGCAGCTTCAATTGGGGATCTCCCTAGGCCTCTCTCGGTCTTAACAATCTAGATTCATAATAAACTTTAAAAAAAACAATTCAATAACAACTTTGCTGACGTCAAGACTTTAAACAACACGCGTGCGCAGTCATATCCTTAAAAAACCCGCAGTCACACGAGATTACACGTGATTGCTATTATGTTCAAATGTTTACATAAGTAGTTTAGTGTACATAGTCATTCATGCTAGTTATTGCCCGCGGATTCGATCACTTATTTATTTTTTAATGTGTGTTTTTAACTTTGAAAATGACGAAATCCCATACAAATTCATCCCTTATTTTACAACCGAAATTTCCGGTATTTAGTGCAGTCGTTCGGAAATCGTGCGCGTTATGCGATTCATTTTTATTTATGCTCATCGATTTCATTATTCCTCCAAGTATTGGGGTTACTAATTCTTTGTTAAATCGACTCGGGCTAGGATTTTTTAAGACCGTTTAGTCGCAGACATAATGGCAGTTACTTACTTTGTAAAAAGAGTCCATACTGACGATGGTGACCCAGGGTATGTTCAGAGATTCTATGATCTTGGCTGCGACTGTTGTCTTGCCTGAAGCACTGGCGCCGCATATACCTTCGAAAATAAATTTATACAATGTCAAAATTATTCTAAAGGAATCCTAAAAACTGGTAAGTAACGATGATGGACGACTAGAACTCAAGACTTACAAGTGCGTCGTGGTGCGCAGCCCTTTGAGGTCCCCCCCCCCCCCCCGAAATTTTGGGGGTGCGGGGTCTTAGGCTCCGGTAAACTCATCACACATCAACAACCTATAATAGTAGACTGCTGGACATAGGCCTCTCCTTAGAAAGGAGGCCATCGTCTGGCCAGACGAGTTGGTATAGGGTTTGTGTCAAGTTTTCCATCTCTTTGCAGTGCTGTTGTCCTGCGTAGTTTGCTTCCTTAGTCGGTTCTTCCGACACCCAAGGGATGAATGGGGATAGTGACACTCTGTATTCTTAATCCGTCACCACACGGATGACGAATTAAGAATACAGTGTGTAACCGGTAACCTCACACACTCGATATAAAGCAATGACAGTATTAGTTAACACCAGGTTTGAGTGAGGTAATGGTATCACCAGCTTTTATTGCTGGTGTTATAATACGAACACTTCAACTATGGGTTGGTCTACTGGTCTACTCACCTATAAGAAAAGGTTCCACTTCCTGCCCACCCGTACAATTATACCAAGGCGGTCTTCCAGCTGTGTATATAGTTCTCCTGTCAGCATGCAGTATACTTTCTGCTGTGGTTCTTTTATTTGATTGTGACATTGATGCGGTGCGCACGCGACGTGCTCGGGGCGACTTCATTATGTTTGAACCTGGAACAAAAACATTGGTTAAAAATCACTATAGATTTCTACACTTATCTTTTAACAGTCGAAATCAAATAACAGACGTGAATTTTTACATATATCTTTAATATTTAATGTTTGTTATGATCCAGCTATCCAGCCAGCATCATCACACATCTGACGACCGGATGGCGTAGTGGTTTGTGTAACGAACTGCTATTCCAAAGGTCGCGGGTTCGATTCCCGCGCAAGTCAAACATTTGTGTGCATGAAAATTTAATATTTGGTTTGGTATGGGTGTTTCTATGTATAATACGAGTATGTATGTGTTTACAAAAAAAAGTATATATGTATTTATATCAGTTGTCTAGTAGCCATAATACAAGCTCTGCTTAGTTTGGGACTAGATGGCGTTGTGTGAATGTGCTAGAATATTATGATTCCCCGGCTACGGTACCTGGAGACGGCGTGCGGTTTTTGGTCGGTTCGAGGCCGACATAACCACCCCATTGGTGGGTGGTATTCGAGGAAAGTTCCACACAGAAAAAAAAGCCAGGAAATTGAATCCTCGATCTCTGGCTTAGCAGTTAGGTTCACCACTAAACCAACCGGCCCGTCGTCAACAACAACGTCGATAGCCTGATTGCGGCTATCGTGCGGAGCGAGAGTGCGTGGAACTCTGCCGTCTCCTTCTGCGAGCAAGTTATGTTCGCGAAGGAGACGGCGGAGCGGGACCGGGAGAGTGTAAAAGTGGTAAAGTGAGCACGGGAACTCGGCCAGGAAGCTTCCCTCTAAGACCAATCACGCTGAACTGCGTACACGTTAGTTGGGATACAGCAAAGGACACAGGAATCTTATGATACAGGGAAAAATGTTACCGCTTGATTATGTTATGTTTACAGGAATTAAGGATTACGTTTGCACTGGCCGCGTCCACAGGTTGACTAGCCGGCGAGTGCAATCTGAAGGCGCATTCCGCAATAAAAGTTCAGTCACAATTCAGTTCCGATCAACTGTCATAAAAGGAATTTTCGTAGTAAATGATTAAACATCAAACGTTGACCAGTCTGATTATAATTGTAATTGGTAATCTGCTAGTCTTAGTAATACTTTAATATTTTACAACGAAATAACCTTAAATGACAGTTGTGAGATCGAATTGGCGTTCTGGTTGAAACGTCAGGCAATTCAAAGATGTGTATTTAATACCTATCGTGAGCGCGTCAACATAATATAATAAAATGGCACGCGAGAGTTAGGTATAAAGTTAGTGATGAAAGAAGTATTTTTAAACGAGCGCAGTAGCAGGTAATGGTTATGTCATATTAAAAAAAATATACCAACGTTTGCATCAACGCACTATTTGTAAACTGTATCGACAGTAAAACAGTAGGCACGTGAAATTAATTAGCTATGACAGCTATGTATATATAGTTTTATTAAACAGCTGACGCTATTTATATGTTGGTCACACAGACTGCCTTGCTTTACAGGCTAAAAGGATATTTTGTGGTAATTTTCTCACATTATTAAAATGTGTCTAAGGCAAATCATGTATTTTAATAAATATTTTATCCGTGTGGTGACAAATTACGAATACGGTATGTCACCACCCCTATTCATCCCGTGGGTGTCGTAAGAGCCGACTAAGGGAGCAAACTACGCAGGACAACAGCGCTGCAGAGAGAAGGAAAACTTGACACAAACCCTAAACCAACCCGTCTGGCCAGCATGGTATAGTAGACCAAAACCTCCTTTCTAAGGAGAGGCCTATGTCCAGCAGTGGACTGTTATAGGCTGTTGATGATTGATGAATTAATATTTAAGTTTTTTTTTGAGCATCATTATATGATTTCTATTTCTGTGACTAGTGGTTAGTGATCATGAATGCTAAGCCAGAGGTCGGGGGTTCGATTCTCACCCAGGACAAATAATTGTGTGATGTGCACGATCATTTGTTCTGTGTGTGGGTGTAATATATCTATAATATGTATGTATTTAGAAATATATAAATATGTTTTTCTTCAGTCTGGTTATCAAAGTACAGGCTCTGCCTAGTTTGGGATCAGATGGAAAATTGAAGTGTCGTTTGTAATATTAAATACTAGGTTTTTTCGTACTCACACGGATATTTGCACGATACCTATGCCTAAAAACCAGTTTAGATATTTTTTGGCTCGACCGATTTTGATAATATTTTACTACCAGCTATCTATCTATTAAAGAAATAACTTGGGATATTTATTAACTAAGAAAAACCCTATAAAATATTGACCGGTTCTGGAATCGAACCCGAGGCCTCATAGACTAAAAAATTGAACAAATATTTTCAATTCAAACTCCACGCGAACTAGTTATAATTATGGGCAGACGGGACATTTGATGGTCGGTTTTATTTATTTTATCTTTATTAACATAACTATGGAGTATACCCATTGTATCCATTAATGTATCCCACGTTATTTATTCTGGGTATGGTGGGATACAGTGAACTGAGGGTCAGAAGGGAACTCACACCCGTCTCGTACCTGTTTAGGGTACTTAGGGGTGGGGTACATAATGAAGACGTGTTAGGACGAGTCAGCATATGTGTTCCGGACAGATACGTGTGGCGGCGCCTTGGGCCGCCGCTGCTGGCTGTCCCGTGCGGGCGCACCAACCTGCAGAGAGAAGCACCGCTGACGCGCGCACTACGTACTCTGAATATAATTGCGGATGAAATAGATTTATTTTATTGCTCACTGAGTGAATTCACAATAACAGCATTAAGAATTATTTCTTATAATAAATAAGTAGATGGTATAACACTATTGCATTGGGCTAAACCTGTAATAATAGTTGTTTTTAAAGGAAATAAATAAATAAACTTTATACACTTTTGTACATCGGTGGACTTAGTGCCCAGGGCTCTTTTCCAGTCAACCTTCGGTTTTCGAGGTATCTGTCTTTAAATACCACAGACAATAATTATCTCCACGTAGTTTATGATAAACAAGCTATTGTCCTACATGTATTTAAATAGTCCATTATTACTACGACCCAATTCAATTATAACAAGACACCATTTTATCAGCCTCACGAACACGTTGTATAGGGTTATGATGTTCAAGTGTAAACCTACGTCTGTACAAATAATAATAATATCCTCGGACAATTGACACACAACGCCATCTAGTTTCAAACTAAGCAGAGGCACTATGAAAGCTAGATTGATTGATAGAATACTTTATATTCTTTTTTTGGAAATACATACACAGAAAACACTCAAACTCCGAACCAAATATTTTAGTCTAATATCCGGCTGCAGAATTTGTGATTGGTTTTTAACAAACACTCGATGAGTGCACTAATTCTACAGCCGGTTTTCGTACTATTTGCAGATCATACAAATATTTGGTCCAACCCGGGAATCGAACCCGTGGTCTCAGCACAGTAGGCGCATACGCTACCACTGCCCCACCGAGGCAGTCAATTACATAAATGATGGGTTTACTTTGTTTCTGGCTAAGCAGTCTTTATTGATCACCCACCGTTTTAAAGTCCTTGAGGGATCGGATAAGATGTGAGTGTTTAATAGGCTTCTGTCTACCCTTTCGGTGATAAAGACCAGGAGTACCTCTCACATCTCACACACGGCCGTCTGATCCCAAACTAGGCAGAGCCTGTGCTATGGTAACCAGACTGCTGATAAACATACTTATATATTTCTAACACATATATACTATAGATAAATTACACCCAGACACAGAACAAATGATGGTGCTCATCACACAATATTTGTTCTGGGTGGGAATCGAACCAACGACCCGGCTTAGCAGTCAGGGGCATTAACCACTAGACCAACAGGCCCATCAAATGTAATACATACGTACACAGACAACGAATATAATTAAATGTAAAATTTTGCTTACTTCACTTCTACTAACATTACTAAAAATACTTTTAAATTGAGTTCCTAGCGGTGAAACAAATCATTATTAATTGATGACGGACGTTTTTTATATAAGTTGAAGGCCCATGAAATACGCTTCAAGGTCGGAGATAATGACGCTTTTATTAAAAGTATGATGTGGGCACATTAACAGAAGGTCAATTCTCGTAATAAAAATTTGTTTAAAAAGTTTTGATCTACTCTCGGATCTCACAAATGTCACAAGGTATTCTCGTAGTAAAGTATTACTAAGACTAGCAGAATACCGATTCAATAATACTATATAACCATATTTAATTTTGCACGAATTTTTATTACGAGAATCGACCTTCCGATAACGCAAATAAACCGTTACAATAACGGGTATAAGGTGGATGACCCTGAAGTCAAATAGGTATCTATTTACTAAACTTCAAAACGATAAATGTGGTAAATTGTATGAAATACTAAGATGTGACGTTATAGCTATTGAAAAATCATTTATGTTTAAAGCTAAATTTAAAGATATTAGAATAAAAAGACATGAAATTGATAAAAGGACAATTCATGGTGCACTTTAAGATGTTGCATTTAATTTTTTAGGCGTAATACTTGTTTTTAAACCTAGGAATATACCATAGTGATAGAGGTGGAGCAAAAGACGTCTTGCAGGAAATAAACAGCATTATTAAACAACAGAATATATATAATGTATACTTATACAAATTTGTGTGTGGTGATGGATTAAATAAACTAAGTGTCACCACCCCTATTCATCCCGTGGGTGTCGTAAGAGCCGACTAAGGGAGAAAACTACGCAGAACAACAGCACTGCAGGGAGAAGGAAAACTTGATACAAGCCCTATAGCAACCCGTCTGGCCAGCGTGGTATAGTAGGCCAAAACCTGCTTTCTAAGGAGAGCCTGTCTATTAAAGACTCTTGATGTGACGTAATACAAATTTTACGTGCGTTTACTGGCACTGCTCCGACGCTAAGGACAGTAGCATGTTATGGCCTAAACCAAGACAAAGGATAGTACTACTGAATTCTTTGATGACAAGTCAGAAAAAAAGACCCTTCTTCACGCTACAAACGGTTACATAAAACTAGATTTAT